CCCGAAGCCTTATACGACACCGGTTTTACATTCCTCTATGTACATGTACCATGTAACGTTACACTTCGCATAGATGCTTTGAGCTCCCAATGTCAGGTGGGGCCCGACTTGGTGTACCTAAGATTACAGATGCCCAAAACCCAACTGATTGGTAGAGACAGTTACCGTGACACAGATATAATTTCCAAAATTCGTCATTCGTGGGAATTGAACCTTAGACCTGCCACTTGGGGGTTGACAACCTATCCACTTTACTAGGTCGCCACACCTCCATCAAAAGTTGTATATATGACTAGTTGTATTTTTATCTTTGTATAAAATAGTTGTAATAACTAATTCTAATAAAAGGCAATAAAATATTGGTACAAAATATGATCTTTAATACAAAAAATATATATATATATATATCATAGTATAGAAAACAAATATTACAATAGTTAATAATAATTATAATAATTTTTTTTAGTAGTTCAATAATAATAGTTTAAAAAATCAATATTATACAAGATAATTGTTAATATAACTTTAATATAATTATTTTTATAACATAATTATTAAAAAAATTTGTAAATAATATATTATATATTTAATATATACTATAAAAATATCTATATAAGTCAATAAAAATCTATATTAGAAAATACTTTAGATTATAAAATGTAGTAATAATATGTAAATTAATATATAAAATTAAATATTTTATTAATTAGATGACTCATAATTAATGGTTAAAATTTTTAAATTTTAGAATATTTTATAAATCTGTTATAGATGATAAGAAATAATATTTCTAAATAGATAAATATTTAAAATTTGCTAAAAGAAAAGTTAGATATATATGCTGATAATTACAAAAATATTATATATAGTACAAAAATTTTATCAATTTATAAGAAAAACTATTTTTAATTCTGAATATTATTTTATTTTAATTTTTTTTTATAATATAATTAATAACTATATATGTTTGTTATATTTTTTGTTTATTATATTATAATACAATAAAATTCAGAATACAGAGGCATAAGATATAACTATAGGTATATCATATATTTAAAAGTTATACTTATGCTTAAAAAAATGTTATATAATTAGTTAATTTTTGTAAATTTGTTTGTGATTATATATAATAATTAAACAATTAAATTATATAATTTTTTAATATTATTAAAAATAAAAAAAAAACTTTATAAAGAGTATAGTAATCTAGTGAAGTAAATAGTTTGTCAACTTCCAAGTGACAGGTTTAAGGTTTAATTTTCACAGATAATAAATTTTAAAAATTATATCTGTATTACCGTAACTGTCTTTTGTTAATTAGTTAGATTTATAGATCTGTAATCTTAGGTATACCAGATCAGGACTCATCTGATTTTAAGAGCTCAATGCATCTATATAAAATATAACATTATATATACATAGAGGAATGTAAAAAACCAATGTTGTATAAGACTTCATTCAAACCTATAATAAGATCATCAGGTGTAGAAAACTAAGAAACTGAGAAGATGGAAGCCTACTTGGAAATTTCAAATAAAGAGATAGCATAAACTTTTGATAATACTGTCAGACTAATAGAAGCTTATAAAACACCTTTATAGAAATTGTTAAATAAATTGAATAATAAAATATGTAGAAGAGCATATGACTAACCAAACTACTAGAATTAATAAAAAAACAGATATATAAGTATATCATATTAGGCCATTTGGATTAGAAGTCTAAAAATTTGTTAGTTTTAAGTTGCAACTAGTAAAAGATAATAAAAAAGATATTGAAAAGATTAGTATCAAGATTTAGATAAACTTTACAAAGATAATATCAGTTTAATAGATAATTCTGATTGCAAGTATTAGTTTCGATCATTGCATCAAATCAGGTTAGTAGTAAAAGAGAATACAGCTTACTCTAGTAGGTTTATCTTAAAGATAAAAATAGTTTAATAATTATAAGCCTAAGGTTGAGGTAAAAGGATCTGAATCAAGTAACCTAATGAAGTTAATACTAAAGTCAGATCAAAGAGTTTAAATAGAACATCTAAGCAAGAGTATTAGGTATGAAAACTGATAGAAAACCTCTAAGCAGACTTTTTAAATAGGTAATATAGAAAAGTTATATATATAGTTAGTTGTATACTTGTCTGATAGTTTAATATAAACATATGTCTATATAAACATGTATCTAATATAAGTATTAATAAAAAATCAAAAGACCAAAAAGGTTATCTTAATACTAAAAAAAAAAAACTTAATAAAAAAGTTTATAAAGTAATAAAAAATCAACCTTTTTAATTTATAGATTATAAATACAAATACACTATACTACAGTATTCAACAAGTTTGAAAACTATACTAATTTAATTACTATAATTTAAGAGTCCAATTTAATAATAAAACAAATAAAATACTAAACATACTAAATATCTAAATCTATACAAAATACAAACTAATTCATATTAATCTAATATATAAAATATAAATATACTAAGATCTATTTAACTAAATAATAATAAAAGTTCTTTATTAAATAAAATTTATATCTTTTATTTTTTTAGTACATTTCAGTTGTTTCTAATATTTAACATTTATATATAAATCTTATAATAATTAATAGTAAAATATTCACTTCTAAATAGAGTCTTCAAAATTACTAATTATTTTTAGAAATATTAACTCTCTTCTGCATACTAAATTATCTTAACTTATAAAACAAAAGTATACTTTGTTGCTAATTTCTAGATTATCTAATCTTTTCTCAAATTATATTATAGAATGTAAATTATAGTTTTAAAATTTATATGTATGCTATATTCTTTAACAATTTGTTTTATAGCAAACAATTTGGTCAAAGTTAACTGTTATATGCAGCATATATATAACTATACATTTAATAATTGTCATGGCTGATTATGAAATCGAATTATTGTGAAATTTGAACTATTTCATGTACGATTTTTAAATTTTTTTGGGCATTTTTTTAGCCTTTTTTTTTTATAGTTGAGTTAGGATTTATGGTTAAAGATTTTAATAAAAGAGTATAGGTGGATTTTGGTAAGGCCTATATTTTCAAATTGAAACCCTAAATTTCACAATAATCTGATTTCATAATCAGCCGCGACTAATCAGAGTTGATGCATGCTACACTATGATTGGCTAGTAATAGATTTTTGTCACATGATCTTAGATGGGCATGCCAAATTTTTTACGCGTGCTCTGAACCCTACAATACAGTATAAACTTTTCAAATATAAAAATAAGTAAACAATATTAATCTTTTAAAATTTTGTCAAATTTATTTTTTTGTTAAAACAATTAACCAAAATAATTAAAAAAGATAAAATAATATTTTCATAAGATACTAGATCTAAAAAATGTTTTTAGTTGTTAATCTTGTTCTCATGCTTCTATATACTTTTAACTAGAGATATTCTTTACTGTTTTCAGAATATCTTTCTGGTTTAGGTATCATATTTTATTGAAGCATGCTTAATAGTATTTTTCAAATTATATTATATTCAAGAATTCTAATTTCAAAATATAAAAAGCACCAGCTTTATAATTTATTTATTTATAGATTCAAGGAACATATGTATAGCATTTTATTATCTTTGATAATCAATTTCGTGTTTATACTGGATCTCTGTAACTAGTACGTTATATTTATTATACGTGGTGAACCATATTTTATTCTTGTATATCATTTTTTGTTCAAATTAAAAATTTTCCAAAGTTATATTGTATATTACCAGAGCTGGTGCAAAAAGGTGATTGGTGAATATACTTGCCCTTTCTTTATATCCTAATAACATTCATGGTCGCAGTTGTATGCTCCTTGAAGGATGTTGTTTTCACTACAATAAAATAAAACGTTAAGGATGATTTCACCATGTCATCTGGCGAAATTGTTTAGTTTCACCAGCATCTTTTATTCGTAACTCAAACTCACTTATGAAATTGCTTTCTGCGTATTAACATTGACATTACCTAATTCCTTTTAACCTAACCAATGATAAAACTATAATCCTAACACAAAAAAAAGAACGAAATTTTTTTTAGCGAAAATTATTTTTCGGAGAAATACTTTTTAGAAAAGTTCTTTGAGAAATACTTTTTAAAGAAATTGTTTTCAGAGAAATTTTTTTTCAACGAAATTTATTTTTAGCGAAATTTTTTAGAAAAGACTATTTTGCTACAAAGTTGGCCAGATTTAGGTAATATTTATAATTGGAGAACTCAATCAGGACCAGATCAATCAATAGCATTTTAAAACAAAGTCAATCGATAACTACACTATAACATTCTTTCTAATAAAGGTGAGAACTTAAAAACGACATTTGTCCTATAAATAATCAAGTAATGTTCAAATAAATTATGTTTAATAAATTATGGTTAAATATTTAATGAATTGTTTTAACTTAATTTAAAGATGCAATGATCTTAATTTGATACAATTATAATTTAATTAAATTATAAAAAAAGCTTTTTAGTGCATATAAAAATACAATTATAAGAAAAAAATATTCTTTCCTAAACTATTCACCAAGTTCCATTAGTAGCAGCTATTACAGCAGCTTCTACACTTAAATGGAAAAATTTATTTCCTCCTGAAGTAGCAGTCGAATCCTCACTACTATCAATCACAACTTCCGAAACTTCCTCAGATTTTTTAGTTTCCATGGATTTTTTAATTTCCACGGAATGTTTACTTTCCAAATCATTAATTTTCGCGGTGTTAGTTCCAACATCGACTAACAAAGCTTTCTGATCTGCTGAACCAAAACCTGCAATTATCAATGATTTTTGTATTGGTTCATTAAGGATAGTCGCAAAATGATATTCCACTTCACTGCCGGCATATCTATTTATGGTCCTTTTAACGTTTACTAATATCTGCACGGCCGTCGAGTCTACGATGCAAACAGCAGAAAAATCGAATATTATCGCTTTTAATGGTGGTAACGCAGAGTTTTCTTGAATTTTAGATTCATAAGTCACTTTAGCTTCATTCCATGGTAAATCGTTTGCTCTTTTAGGCATTTCAGACATCCGACGGGTATTGGTTTTTACATGATTAATTATTTCGTCTTCAATATAATCAGCATTTGGATAAGTAAGTTCTTGATCAATTCGAAAGATTAAAATACCACTTGGTGGACTTTGAGCGCCCTCGAATACTGAAGGAACATAGGCATATTTATTGGAAGATTTGTCATCGAGCGAGGCGATCGCAATGCGACCAAGCGTTTCAAATTTCGGTCTTGATATTCGAAGGAGGGTTATTGCAAGTGAAAAGCCAACAGAAACATAAATTCCAACCTATATTTGTAATTAACAAAATATTAATACCTTGATGATAAATAAAATGGAATAATAATTTAATGAATACCTACTTCGACGTTGAAAAAGAAATTAAAAACAAAACCAACTATAAAAACTGCGAAATCCCAAACTAAAAATAATTGATGAAAATTGGTTTGCGTTAATAAAATGATGATAAAATTAAAGAAATAAAAATAAAATTGAATACTATACAATCAATATCCCATAATTGTTTTATATAGGTGGGTGTGGAGACTAGATCGACCACAGCATGAATAATAACAGCACTGCAAAAATAAATATTTTAACGATCTAGCAGTTATAAAAATAAATTTATGGAAAACCATCAAAAATGCTACTTCTCAATGAATAATATTACTTTGATTATTCTTTGAGTAACAGCATTGAAATCAGCAACAATGTGATAAACATACTTAAGTGCAGCATTAGGAATGTAATAAAATGCGGGAGTTAAAGCGTAAATAGCCAAAAGGACCAATAGACCAGAAAATATACCAGCAAAAGGAGTCAATACACCAGATTTTGACTTGATAGCACTACGAGAAAAAGAACCGGTAGCTGGATATGCACCAAATAAACAGCCAAGACAATTGGTGGCACCGATAGCGATACACTCTTGACTAGGGGCAACTAATTTTTCATAATGTCAAGAATATTTACACATTTATGTACAAGTAAAATGATATCATTTAAACTCACTTCTATAGTCATTAATCCTTCCAAAACTTTTAGCAATAGCAATATGTTCCAGAACTAAAACTATACAAATTCCAGGAAGATACGGGCCACAAATACTTAAAAGTTTAGTATCGATATCCTTTACGCCGACATCATGGAGTCCGGAAGGCATGGTTTTCAGAATACTTAAGGGATTTGTGGTTTTTCCAATATTGAGTATAAAGGCGATGATAGTGTAAATAACCACCGCGAGAAAGTTGCGTAAAGTGGAAATGAAAAAGAATATCTTTTGTCTATTAGAATAACGCGTGGTAAGGTATGACATTCCAAATTTAACACTATATAAGAACAATAAGCAAGTGAGCCCAGCAGCAGCATCAACAGTTGTACGGCCCAAAGCTTTAAGTGTGTTTCCAAGAACTAAGTATGTGGCAGCTCTAGTATCTATGCCGGTTATGCCCAACAAGCCTGCAAGCTTTATAATAAAAAGCAAAGCGTTTTTAATTAATATTTTTTAATAAAATGCAAATAAGCAATAAATAAAATACATTAATCTCTTTACCTGACTGATAGTGATATTGATAGCAGATCCAGTAGTGAAGCCGGCAATGACGGGATTAGAAACAAATCTAACAACAATACCAAGACGTAACAGACCAAATAAAAGAACGATAAGACCAGCCAAGAGACTAAAAGTTGCTGCAATTGTTGGATTTGAATATCCCGCATTATCTTTATTACTGGAAATTGCGGTTAGAGTTTGTCCTATAAGCAAAGACATAACCGCGGTAGGGCCAATAGTCATGTCTTTCGATGTTGCGAAAAGACAATATATCGTGACACCAACAAAAGAGGAATATAACCCATATTCTACAGGCAATGCCGCAACCTTTGCGTAAGCCATACTTTGAGGGATTACTACCAATCCCACAGTTATCCCGGCTATCAAGTCACCGAGCAACCATGTGGTATTATAACGACCGATCCATGAGAAAATCGGAAAAAGGGATTTTACATATTCAATAGAAAATGCAGGGAGATGATGAACAGTTCTCTGAACATCAGCTTTTAGGTCTTTTTTCTTTGGTTCGAAAATATAATTTGAATCGGCCATTTCGATCACTTAGTTCATGAAGAAGCAACTTTTATTAATTTATTGGTTGTACAGATTTATATTAAAGTTGATTATGTTATCGTTATTTATACTTTTTAAGTAAAGTAAATATTTATATCGCATCATATCTGTGATAAAAACGTTTTGTCCACAATTCCTTTTCTGGAAGCATTTTCTTTTTGGACTCAAGATTAAGGTGTTGGCTCTGATCAATTTATGTACTCATGAGTATCAATAATTTTTTTTAAAAGAATTGGCATCACTATTCCTAGAAATGTTCTTGGATCTCTACTACAAGTAAAAGATTTATCTACTTATTTAACCCGTCAAATACATGTATCTATCAATATCGTGTTGGTAACGATAACAGTAACAACAAAGATTATCGAAACACAGAACATTTTTATGTGAAACAATTAATTATTACCATTTATAGACAGTTGCTATCGCTATCGTAACAGCGCTGGTATTTTAATAATGCTAAATGCCTCAATGCTTTAAGGGATAATTTACTGTTAGAAAATTAATATATTCGCAGTGTTAATTTTTCGATAGCTTCATGTACATACATACTTCTCGACCATTAATAGTTACAAGTAGGATAATTTATTCTACGAACTTGCATTTGATTTCTTGCTTATTGTCCCGATCTTATCTTTTATTTAAGATAATACACAGATTTACTGATCTAAAATTTGTGTATTTGTGACAGGTTTTATGTTAAACCTATCTGAATTGTTTTTAATTAAGGTTAATGAACTATTAGAATTCGAATTGAATTGAATTAAATTACTGTAATATTAATTAATGTATATAATTTAAGGTTACATCAATGTTAGCGCTAACTATAAATTGTTAATCTTTCAATATTTTATCACTCCTTAAATTTATTATATATTTAGTAAGAATAAATCGTACAATATCTGATGTACAGCGATGGAATGTACGTATAGGGTTGAGCAATTTTTATGTTATATAATGTAAGTTGCATTAACAACATATCGATATGTATCAATATGTACAACAAATATTATACATACGCAATTTCAAACAAAACACTGCAAATGACAATTTTATACGTAGTTAGGGATTTTGGGCGTTCCTTTGATAACACAATATTTTTTGACAATCTATCCCTTAAATCGTCCAGCATGCAAATTTAGACATTAAATTTTTAGAGGTTTATTTTTGTGCATTTATCCTAACCTAAGGCATATTGTATTGTGGGGATGTTAACGGTCTGGTCCTCCCGTCTGGTCAGCCTTTTATCAATTTAGATTAGATGAGCTGATATCTTTACTATTATTCAATGTTGGCATTCTATTGTTCTATCGTAAATTCTATTCATTCTATTTTATTGCTCCGTTATTTCTTAATTTTCCGAAAGCCATTTTCTCGAAATACTATTTTCCGATGTATATACCTCGCAGACTAAAGTAAACCGGGACGTTTTCGCTAAAGGTATTGGTATTGTCTCAAATGTGCATTATTTAATTTAAACAAAATATTAATAGTTAATTCCCTTTGTAATATTGCGTATAAGAAAATGCTTAAAGAGCTTCTTTCGAATTACATATAAATATCATGCGACAGGGTGAAACCCGTTATGCAGATCACATGAGAGTGAAATCCGCTTTTTCTTAATAAAAAAACATAGCTAAACGCGGATTTCACCCTAACGTAATCTACGTAGCAGGTTTCACCCTCTCCTAATATCATTTTTAGATATATATGTCTGACGATGCACATAGTATAAAAACGCACTGGATAATACAAAATGCATCCAAAATAATATAAACTTTCAGGTTCTAAATATAATATGACCTTTGAGTAATCTTAATTTACATGAATAAAGTCTAATTATAATAAGTTACGGTATTTTTGCAGTAACTTATTATAATTGCAAGTTATGGCATTATGTTAACACTTTTATACTGAGGTACTAACCGAAGTAAGCGAAGCAATTAATATTATTATTATAATTAAAAAGGAGTTTACTAATTTCACCCACACTTTTAATTGGTTCTACTAATTATAGCATCTATTGTTATTAATCAATTTTATGAAGTGCTGAAGTATGAGGGGGTTAGTAAACCCAATTAAAAAGGAGAGACAAGCTGGGATATAACTTGCAAATTTTAAAAACGGTTTTGAAAAGCAAATGACTAAAATGAGTAAAATAAAAGGGTGGTGCTGTTTGGGGGGTACCCTTATGTCCAGAAAATCCCGGGCTGAAGATCACTTCCGACCCTATCCGGATCCAATAAAATCACAGGATCTTGTGTAACAAAACAAACGCGAAAAACATAAGAAATTGTAAAAAAACGCAAATAACACAAAAATTTACTATGATAACTAATTTCCGACCTCTAAGTAAAAGTTTTCAGAATGAAATTTTGCTTATAAAACACAATTGTTAATGTTAGATATATAGTGAATTTTTGAGATACTACGACCCATATTCATTTGGCCGGCAGCTCGAAATTTTCTGAACATAAGGATATCCCTGTTTGGGCATCTCCTATGCGTATCTCCAATAGTGAGTCAGAATTTGGTCAAAATTTCGTGTAATGTAACATGATTATGAGGATCAAAACAAATCGGCATCTTTTCAAACATCGATTATTTCTCGAAAATTTGCATAAGAAACCACTTTTCGTGCTCTAACAAAAAACTTTTTTAATCAATTTCATTATTAATATTACTAAACTTTAACCAAATGCAAACCTTAACCCTACTCTAAATAAACTTAATGAATTTTGTTATGTGAAATATTATTAGAAAATTTGAAAATTAGATTATAATCAAAGTTGTTATATTTATTTTTTTTAAATTTTGGCAGCCTTGCCAATTACTTTATTAAGATACCTGCATATATATTTTGTACAAAATTGGGTTAAATTCTGGTTTGACATTTTCTGATTGTTTTTATGAATGCTTATAAATGATCTGTTGTACTGATCAAAAAATTAATCTTGTTAGAAGATTATACCAAGCTAGTTATTAGATTTGTAAAAAAAATAATCTTATTTTTCTTTTTATAAAACTACCAACTAAATTTAACTATGATTTTTTGAAATTTTTTTTATTCTTTGCATTTTTTTTTTTTATAACTTAGTTTTTTTTTTATTTTTACTAAAGTTGTTTGTTATTGGCAGCTACTTTTTTTTTTTTTGCTTTTGCTAAGGCCATAGTTATCGGTGCTATTGTCTTTATTGTATTTTAATTATGATTACATAACTTGTACAAGGTGAGTATACAACTAGCCACACATACAACTTTTGGTTGTCTAATTTAAGTAATTTAAGCCAATATCTAATGTTTTTCGAAGAGAAAATTAAAATCAAAAATTATATGCAATATTATGTGCATTAATATGCATGATATTGTATTATTATGGTAAAATGTACATGTTTTCTATCTCTAACTATGAACTAGTTCATGATTGAGTTTGAGAATTGTGAACTAGTTCACAATTGAGTTTGAGAATTGTAAACTAGCTCACAATTGAGTTTAAGGATCATGAACTAGTTCACAATTGAGTTTAAAAACTATAAACTAATTCATGATTGACTTTAAGGATTGTGAACTAGTATATGATTGAGTTTGAGGATCATGATCTAGTTCACAATTGAGTTTAAGAACCGTGAACTAGTTTATAATTGAGTTTAAGGATCATGAACTAGTTCACGATTGAGTTTAAAGACTGTAAACTAGTTTACAATTGAGTTTAAGAATCATAAACTAGTTCATGATTGAATTTGAGAACTGTGAACTAGTTCACAATTGAGTTTGAGGACTATAAACTAGTTCATAATTGAGTTTGAGGATCATGAACTAGTTCACGATTGATTTTGAGAACCATGAACTAGTTCATAATTAAGTTTGAGAACTGTGGACTAGTTTACGATTACTTTAGTGACTGTGAATAGTAATAGGTTTCTTGCATACATATAATTTCTTAATTATATACATAGTTGCGAATATTTTAAGTTTAATTTTTATAAAAATATAAAAAATTTTAGAAATTCTTAAAAATATAATAAAA